AAAGAGAGAGAGAGAGAGAGAGAGAGAGAGAGAGAGAGAGAGAGAGAGAGAGAGAGAGAGAGAGAGAGAGAGAGAGAGACCCAAAAGTGGTATTATCAAGTCTAAGCGCATGCGCTGTTTGGACCTGCGCGAGTGTGGGTTCAATGTCGACCTGCGCCAAACGCAAGTTCAACTTTCTATTCGCAGCCCTAAGGCTGCAATATAGTGGGTTCCGACGTCTGTGTCAAGGTGTCACATTTTTGGCGGCGGGCGACCACGATGCAAGTGGGTCCTAAGGGGGGGGGGGGATTTTGGGGGACCGGTCCTTCAAGATATTGCGAACTACCTACAGCTAGCTCTTGTAGAACCGAGACTTTTGGAAAAAGGAAGGACCGGTCCTCGGGTGGAAGCGGACCCAAAAAAAAAATGAGGGCATGTGAACTGTAAAAGGGCCCTTAGGCCCAGGCGTTGAGGCCCGTCTTCTCAAGACAGGGAGGTCAGGCGCAACGAAACAAACAGTTTGCAAGAGGCAACTTTGATGATTTTCTGTGCTCGAAGGAATCCGCAGAAAAATCAAAAATTTTGAGAATCCATAAATGAGGTTGTGTTCTTTCCGAGAAAAATATCAGTACATTTTCAAAAAATCATTTAAACCATGAAATAATTGTCGTGCCGATTTGACACATTTTCTATTTTTGCCACTTAGGCATGTGTGGGCCAACTGAAAAAGTACTCCAAATTCAGTGAGTTTTCGCGCTCAAAAGAATGTGTGAAAAAACCTGAAAATTGAAGTACTTGTAGATTTTGCTGTGATCTTTCCAAGAAAAATGGTAAATAAATTTAAAAAAATCATTCCAACTGTGAAATAGATCGAGGCCCCAATTTGAGCCATATTTCAATTTTGCCATTCAGTCTCTCTCTCTCTCTCTCTCTCTCTCTCTCTCTCTCTCTCTCTCTCTCTCTCTTGTTCTCTCTCTCTATGGTAGCTCCCCCGCCCTCCCTCTCTCTCTATCTTTTTTTTTTCTCTCTCTCACCCTCTGTCTGTCTGTCTCTCACTCATATCAACAAATGGAACAATACTCTCTCTCTCTCTCTCTCTCTCTCTCTCTCTCTCTCTCTCTCTCACTTTCTGTATCTCTCTCTCTCTCTCTCTCACTCTGTCTTTCTCTCTCTCTCACTCATATCAACAAGTGGACCAAATCTCTCTCTCTCTCT